GCAAGGTACCACAAGGGAACAGCCTCCTGGTTGGCGCTCTTACATATTTTTCTGTGGAATGACTTTTTGTCATGCTTCCATTGAATATTGGGTTTCTGCAGTCTGCCTTATGCCTGATTTTTTCTTTAGATTGTAAATCTCAAGGGAGTCAGATCATGTCCTGACATTGCTGTACAGTTTTGCCTGGATGAAGGATACTCTACCACTAATAAATTGTTTCATGTGCTGCATGGTGTTTTTAAAAATAGACTTTTTTTTTTTTGAGACAGTCTCAAGTTGTCACCCTGGGTAGAGTGCTGTGATATCATAGCTCACAGCAACCTCCAACTCTTGGGCTCCAGTGATCCTCTTGCCTCAGTTTTTCTGTATTTAGTAGAGTCAGCGTCTCGCTTTTGCTCAGATTGGTCTTGAACTCCTGAGCTCAGGCAATCCACCGGCCTCAGCTTCCCAGAGTGCTAGGATTACAGGCATGAGCCAAAATAGACTTTATTTATTTATTTTATTTATTTATTTTGAGACAGAGCCTCAAGCTGTCACCCTGGATAGAGTGCTGTCATCACAGCTCACAGCAACCTCCAACTCCTGGGCTAAGCAATTCTCTTATTTCAGCCTCCAGAGTAGCTGGGACTACAGGTGCCCGCCACAATGCCTGGCTATTTTTTGGTTGCAGTTATCATTGTTTAGCAGGCCCGGGCTGGGCTTGAACCTGCCAGCATCTGTGTATGTGGCCAGCACTCTACTCACTGAAGTATGGGCGCCAAGCCCTTGTTTTTAAACAGCATTTTCTTTTTCAAGTGGGACAGATTGGAAAGTTCATTGTTACTGTTGCCCACATGAAGCTTGTTATGTTCACAGTTGGGGGCTTTTCAGGCAAAATTGTTGAGCTTTATCAGGAGTTTTGCAGCCCTATAAGCCTGAATTTGAGCCCTCGGTTTATCACTAAAGTTGCTGTGTGGCGATAAGCAAGTTACCTCCCCTCTCTGTTCTTCAGTTTCTTAACCTATAAAATGCAAATTATAATCAGTTTATAGCACTGGTGGGTGGAATAAATGAAGATTTGTGTAAAGCACTTTTACATAGTACCTGGCACATGGTGGGCACCAAATCATTGTTGCTAGGGAGAAGAACAGTTGAATTTTTGCTCATGTCCATCAATTGCTTTAAAAACAACACACACACACACACACACACACACACACACACACGTCTTGCTGCCTGTGGCTCAAGTGGCTAAGGCACCAGCCACATATACCTAAGGTGGCGGGTTCAAATCCAGCTGGGGCCCGCCAAACAACAATGACGACTGCAACCAAAAAATAGCCAGGTGTTGTGGCGGGTGCCTATGGTCCCAGCTACTTGGGAGGCTGAGGCAGGAGACTCGTTTGAGCCCAGGAGTTGGAGGTTGCTGTGAGCTGTGATGCCACATCACTCTACCCAGGGTGACAGCTTGAGGCTCTGTCTCAAAAACACACACACACCCTACCTGTGGCTCAGTAGGTAGGGTGCTGGCCCCATATACCAAGGGTGGTGGGTTCAGGCCCAGCCCTGGCTAAACTGCAACAACAACAACAAAATACTTGGGCATTGTGGTGGGCGCCTATGGTCCCGGCTGCTCAGGAGGCTGAGGCAAGAGAATCACCTAAGGCCAGGAGTTGGAGGTTGCTGTGAGCTGTGTGACACCAATAGTACTCTACCAAGGGCAATAAAGTGAGACTCTGTCTCCACAGAAAAAAACCAAAAAACCCAAAACACACACACAGAAAAATTGCAAAGATAGTACAAAGAGTTCCTCTCTACCTGCACCCAGCTTCCCCTGTTATTACATCTTCTATCAGTATAGTGCATTTATTACAACTAATGAACCAGTATTAAGATTTTTATCATTAAGTCTATACTTTGTTCACATTTCTTAGTTTTTTCCTAATGTCCCTTTTCATTCCAGGACACCACATTCCATTTAGTCATCATGTCTCCTTGGGCTCTTTCTCTGGCTGAGACGGTTGATCTGTTGCTTTTGATGGCATTGAAATTTAATTTTGGTGCAGACCATGGGATATCTTTTTCAGAATTTTTAGCTATAGGGTAGCCAATAGTAGCCCCTGGGCTTGATGTGTGGTAGACTCCAGAGATCTTTACCTGAAAGCTGCCCTACTACGGCTCCCCCTATCTGAAACCTACTTTTCTGCTAGAAAACGGAGTCACACTGCTGAGAACCTCCTGTGCCATATCCTGCCCAATTTGTCCTCACCTAACTTCTGGTAAATAATACCTGACTAGAAGATGCTGGTTGAGCTGACAGTATTGCCTGGGCAAAAAACCTTCCCGGGGAGGGGGAGGAGAAGGAGGCTGCTCTGTGGGTTCTCTGAATATTAATAACTTTCACTGTTTCAGCTAGTGTTTCCTCCTTGACATCACCGAATGAAAACGTATCTGGGAGGTTTTAGTTTCCTGGTGCCAAATCCAAGTCGTTTTATCAGCAAGCGCCCCTCGCCAGACAATGCAGGCTTGTGTGCTTGGGCAGAGAGCAGCTTCCCTTTTGAAATAGGCTCTTTTTCTAAGAACTGAAAATAAGCAGCCTCGACTGTGACTTCACTTTTCTTGGAACTGCTTTACATTACAAAAAATATGTATGCAAAACCCTCATTTAGCTGGTTTTGGGTTGCCAAGTTCCCTAATCCTTTCTCTTGCATATTCTTGTAAAGCTGATGTTTTACTGAAAAATTCTTCTGCGTTAGGTGAGGCAGGAAGAAAAGGGAGGAAAAGGGATGACCCGAGTGTTGTGTCTCCTGACCCATTTGTGTTTGGTTAATAGTTGAGGGGGAATGAACTTGGAAGAGACACTGTGTGTAGAGTTGCCTTCAAATTCTAAGGGTCAAAACCCTGAGATCTTTGGGGCCACCAAATGGGCCAAAACTGGTGTTGCTAAGACTCAGGCCAAAACCCAGACTTACTGAGCAATTTCCTGTTGCAAGGATAAGGGGGGGAAATGCATTTTTGGCCATAAAGACCTACATTTAGTACACAGGGTGGAACCGTGTAAAAGGACATTTTCAGGGGCCCCTGCTTGCTTAGGGTCCCGTCTCTCTCAGTTGTCTGGCTTGGAGTTCGGTCTGTGAAATGGAGATAATTCCGTCTTCATAGGATGGTGCCTGGTGGGCTCTTGGGACCTGGGGCCTGAGGGCAGACCTCTGAGTTCCTCTGAAATTGTTAGAATCTCTGTCCCCACTGGAGCTGCTTATCGTGGTCATGCCTTATTTATCTCTATACCTCTCCCCAGCATGAGGCCTTGCCCTCAGTAAAGTTAGGACTGGCTGGTGTTTAGGCTGGAAGAAATATACAGGCAAAGGCACGATGTCCACGATTTTGACTTGGCTCACAGCCGTTTTCATGTGAAAAGAACCTCTTTCTAGCAAATGGCCTTCCCTAAAAGGGCCTTTTGAACTGGACATCCCTGTGTAGTTTAGAAGGGCATCACAGCTGGAGGGTCTGACAGGAGTGTTTGGGGGTACTCTGGGGTATAGAAGGAAGGCAGGGCAAAGTCATAAAAGGGCAGAGGAAAAGAACCAAGACAGCCAAGTCTCGAAAAGGATTCCTGTGGTTTGGGCAGAATCTGAAATGA